TTCGTTTTTATTCACAAATTATCAAAACAGAGTTTGACAACTTTGTCACCGTGTAGTTATGGATATAGAAAAAATTCTGTACTTTGGGACATAATTCGAGGCAGGGTAACAAAACTTTAGAAGTATGGTGACGTTTAGTTACATATGTTGCTTTTCTTTATTAAACCATCAGTGACTCAAGTTTCCATTTTTCCAGGATTCTGGGCGTACAAAAAGAAATACCATCGAATGTAATCAGGCGAGGTACTTTTATATTGCTTTTTTTTTAAGGAGAAAAAGAAACAGTTATTCTCCCAAATGAATTTTTTTCTGTTTAGCATTTTTGTACATTTATCCGTTCAACTTTTCCAGGAACGGCGAAAATTGTGAAAATAGTAATAATGTACAGTCGGAGGATCAACCAGGTTAGTTTTTGGAAATTAGAGCCTAAATCTCTAGCTTTCTTTGCAATTCGGTCCTTAACTTCATTCCTGATTTAAATAATAAGATAATTAAATGCCAGGAGTTGTTAGCAGTATAAATTCTCTTGGAGTGCTTTTTCAGTATTCAGTATTTTTTATAACCGGTTGAAGAACTGATGGTTATATTTAGCAGTCTTTGATATAGCATTAGTATCGTCATTTCATGACAGTGAATGACGGCGAGTGAAATATATTGTTCTCGTAAATGTTGTAAAATGCGTTCTTGTGATCAAGAAATATGCTGACTAGAATGGATTAGTGAAAATCATTTATGTTGTTTATTGTTTATAGGGCCATCTGGACTGCAGAACAAAAACAGTTTAGTAAATGTGAGAAGAAGCTCGAGAAAAAGAGAGAAACATTATAACTTGTCAGTTTTTTCATGAATGATTTTTATTGGTAATTCTCAAGGACGAGACTGTTTTTTGCTTAGACAGAAGCTTTCATTTTCTATTTACTACGAGTGTGCATCTCAATTATTTCCTTTATTACATCGTCCGTAATTCAGTGTATAATCAGTAATCTATTCAGTTACCTTGATAATTTTTTCATTGCTGGAAGGAAAACTATATTTTAGTGGTACGGTGACAGTAACGGATGGAAGTGACGAAGATACAACAAAAGTTGACGTTTTATATGACGAAAGTACAGCTGAAGTAGACGATGATCCGTTAAGTGATTGTAGTTGGAACATGCGAACAAATAGTACGAAGAAAAATAAAAAGTGAGTTTCTGATTTTTTTAGGTAGTGAAAGGTGGGCGACTAATGTGTTTTAGAAATTTTTGATTTTAGTTTAAGTTGTATATTGCATATTGGATGTGAAACTATCATGAATTCGGAGACGGACCTATTCTGAAAAATGATTTGAATTCTCCATTGAGTTTATTAATATGACAGTTTTCGTTAAATTATTACGTTGATTTTGTTGAATCATAAAATCTAATTTCCAGTTATCGTAAACGAACATGCGGAAGTCAGGAAAGTGCAGAAATTAACAAGAAACGTCGTCGACAAACTACACTGAAAAAAATTAGGGACGATGCAAATTCAGCACCGTATTCAATTAATGAGCAGGATTCACAAATAACAAGAACATATGTGACTAGAAATCGTCAAGGACATGTAAATCACGCGGCTACACGCGCAAACGGTGACACTCATCCTCGGATTGGGTTAAGACGATCCGTTCAACGAAATGTCAATTATAATGAGAATGGAATTACTGATGACGATGATGACAACGATGAGGCATCGAATAGTAGTGCAAAACGAAAAAGGATTCGTAAATATGATAAATAAAGCATTTTGCCATTCTATACAGTCTCCATATTTAACGTTTATTGGATTTTAAATTTTTTGCATAAATTCAATAGAAGAATCAGATGTATTATGTTCTGCCTAGAAATTTAGTGTATATATCGTTGTTTAGGATATTATTATTTGTCTTTTAACTTTATTAGAGGCGAAGTTTTTTTCGGCTTTTTCCTGACTAAACTTCTCACCTTAGCTAGGTTTCGTATTTCAACGTTTTTGAAAATGAACTAATTTGGTGGATATCCAAAAGAACACGCTTTCGTAAGACATTGAAGCGATTCTGTCTGCATGATATCATCACTCCTTTCGCAGCATTTACATAATGTGTCATGAGATATATTGTCACCCATTTACCCGGCATCATTATCAGTTGTACAATGTATAGAGAGATTTTGACAATAATGAATGCCAGTCGCTGGCATAATTGTTATTTGATTGTAATTTATATATATTTTGTATTATCAAACTTCTTAGGATCAAATGTTATTTCTGTCCAAACAATAAATTGTATTTAAAATTGATCAAATTCTTAATCTTTTATTGTTACAGAAGTTTTAGTTTACTATTTGTCATGTTCTTATCTAATATGGCAGAAGCATTTTTTTTCATTAAGCCAGTCATTTCGGCTCAGTTATTATGATTTATATATTTTCATCTCAATGAGAATATAAATCGAATGCATATTTTTTGGAATTTCTCGCTAGAACTCCTATCCGAATCCAGCTCTTGATTTCTTTTATTTGTTAATGATTGTATGCCTGAAACATCAAAAATTGCAGTGCCGAATAGGTTTAACTGATTTTACTACAATTATATCATTTTAATTTTTGATGAATACGTTTCTGGAATGCTTAAATTTCAAGTTCATTTTTCAGTTATTTACCTCTGATTTTTCTTGTTGAATTTCTCTATTTTTGTTCGTAAATTGAAATTTGCTTTAAAATCTTGCTTTGTAAATTACTAATATCATTCATCGAAGAAAACTGACAACACAGTATCATTCATTGAAGAAAACTGAGTCATAAACATACTTCATAACTTAAATCAAAAATTTTTTCGGATTTTTTTTAAAAGCTCACAATAATGATCATTTCCGGATTGTTACAGGATTAGCCATTCGAAATAAAAATAAATGTCCTTTATTATTGGAATTTATTCGTCCCAGCAATGGAACATTTATTTGTTGTTTGTCAGTTAAAAAACCATCATTCATTTACAAAATCGATCAAAATTCTTACCAAGAGCTTCCTTTTAATGATCAATCCACAGTACTTTAACTTATAGTACACACGGGGTTGATATCGAAGTGATAGCTATGTGGTAGATAGATGTATTGTCAATTATTAATTATAGCGCATGGAATCTTTCCTCCATGTAAGTATTTAGATTAGTCTTCGTTACATGAATTTCAACTGTGAAGTTGACACTTCTTTCTGGTGCAGCTACTCTCGTAAAATTAATCAGGAATTCTGATCCACTGAGACATAGCACTCTTCTGTAATGCTGCTTGTTTGACTGGATAATGCAGCAATATCAGCGAAGTTGTAAATTTGCAAAATTGTAAATCACTGAAAGTTTTAATGGTAGTAATATTTTCGGTAATTTATGAATATTAATTAATATCTTTTAGGGGATATCCAAATAATATCGTTTGACTTTTTAATTGACAGTTATATTCGAATTTCTTTTATCGGATAGTACAAAATTTTTGTTGAGAAGAAATCATAAAGTTTTAATTCACTTTAATTGAAATCTTTGATACTGAAAATGAACAAGAATGAAAAACACTAATATATTTGAAATGAAAATTTAGTGCAAAAAAAATTCCATATGGCTTATAATTAATACAAAATCATCGATAAGCTACTGTAGGAAATTAGAATTGGTAAATGTATTTGATACTAAATTATAATATACAAGTAGAAATATCGATTTATTGATATCTTTGATATTGAAATTTGAAACGAAAATTTATTGTAAAAAAAAATTTCATATGGCTTATAATTAATACAAAATCATCGATAAGCTACTGTAGGAAATAAGAATTGGTAAATGTATTTGATACTAAATTATAATATACGAGTAGAAATATCGATTTGAATTAATATATAAATATTATACATATGTGTGTGTAATAAGACTTAAATGTTGAAATAACTTTGCTGCATTTTATTAAGTGTTAAAATAATTTTGTAAAAGAAGAAGATATTTAAAATTGAATCAAAATCAAGAACTTCCTACTATATTTGATTAAACAATTTTCTAATACTGTTTACTACTGTAAAATAACAACAGTATTATTGTACTGTATATTCTAATGAAATAATTTGTATAAAATGCAGAATTTTAGCTAATTTTCCAATATAGTGAAATATTTGATAGATTAAAACAATCTTTCTGAATTCGGGGAATTTTCTTTTTTTAGAATTAGAAAAGAAATATTATTTTTACAATTAATTTACTGTAAACTATTATTTTACTATAAATTAATTACTGTAAATTATCTGTGATATAGTTGTTATCAATAATTTTGAATTTAAAATTTCCTTTATTTTTTCACTTTTTTGTTTTAATAAAAATATTTACACTTTCTATTTATATCATCGAAACAAAATTATTCAATGCGATTCGGTGATCACAAGATATTGTTGTTTTGGTAGTAGATGATATAGTTCAACAAATTTAATTAGAATTTTAGCTAATTTCAATTTTGTTAGAAAAATTTATCAAATTATTAGCAATTTACACATTATCAATCATTAGCTTTCACATGATGATTTTAATTACTTTTGAATGGCTTATTTGTAGTGAGATCGAATTTAAAATTAAGCACTAGCAAATGCATTAAATGCGTCGTTGTCCATAGCAACGTGGGAATATAGCGAACAAATATACAGTGACTATTTCTTTGTAATTTATTTTATTTTTAAATTTCATTTAGCTTGATAGATTTTTTTTAATGGAATTTACTAAGGTTTATAATATTTAATTTGATTTATATTGTAAGATAATATAATCATTAGAAAAGTAATCATCCTTTTTTTTCAGAGCAAATAAGTCATTAGAAATAGTTAGGAATTTTCGTAAAGTTACGGATTATCAAAAAATCTTATACTGTTTTATGTATTCCATAAATGTTATATCTCATATAAGTTAGGAGAAATTGCATGCACAATGGAAAAAATTCCAGGAAGATATAATAATTAACGAGGTGTTAAACAACAATGAACAATGAACTGAAGGAAATATTAAATGCTACAAATGGTCTTCTATTTTATGAAGAAGAACTTAGTCCAGTTTTCTGTAAACCAAAACTTATTCCACTTAAATCTGTAACTCTCGAAAAGTTGGAAAAAATGCAGAGCGAAGCAATGGAAGTAATAAAAGATATTGAAAAGAGCAAGAACAAGACACCAATATCGGTAAATTTTTCTTTGTCAAACTAGCCTTGAATTAAATCGCTTTAGATCTATGATCCAAAGTCTAAATCTTCTTAGTAATTTTAGGATCACATTGTATTCATTGTTATTCATCGTCATTATTGTTAATAACCATATTTGCACCGTCAATAACCATATTAGCTGTTTCTATTATGCTTTCAGAATAGTGAAATCTTAGTAACATAGAATATAAAAAACTTCATAGATCATAATGTAAATTTCAGGGAAAAATTGAAGAGAGTAAGAACAAGACACCAACAGCGGTAAATTTTTCGTTGTTAAACTAGTCTCAAATCGCTTTAGATCTATGATCTAATGTTTAAGTCTGTTTAGTAATTTTAGGACACATGCATGCAAATCATTGTTATTCACCGTCAATAACCATATTAGTTATTTTTATTATGTTTTAAGAATAATACATCTTCGTAATATAGAATATAAAAAACTTCACAGATCATAATGTAAATTTCAGGAAAACACAGAATATAATCCAAGTAAGTTAAAAGGAAGCGTTGCTGATATTTGGATTGCTGAAGAAAATCAAGAAACAGCGACAAAAACTATATCCTAACTTTATAATCTATAACATTTTCAATCATACATCGTTTAAATCTGCTTCAGTTATTCATATTTTCGAGGTTTGAATCTATCGAGAATCTCCGGTTCTGCTATCGGATAAGATTTCGGAATAGCCTTCCATTCTTTCTCTGTTCTCTTGTAAATCATCTGTCGTGTATAATGCCCTAATTTTTGGTTGTCTCGCAAAGCCTTTACCGATTCTCTGGAAAAATAACAAGACCACATATACATTTTTCAACTGCGAATTATTTTTGAGACTGTTTTGTTATCCGTTTTCTTATCTACACTCTTATCTAACAGAGCATTATCTGGCAGCATATAAATTGCTGATTCACAATTAATACTCATTCCTTAATAGTTTCTGGTTGAGTGCTATCTTAGTCATAATGATGGAAACTAAAAAAAACTTCAAAACTTAATCGGATGAAAAACCAAATTAAATTACCTTTTTGATGGCGGCTTTAACAATTCTGCTAGATTACAATGGATCGGTTCTTGTGGCTTTTCGTGCATATAGATAACGTGAACTAAGTCAAGATCATTGCGCAATATTGTATTCGTGGTGTCACGTACTTCACGTGGCATGAATGCTTTAATTAGAAAATAGCTGAAACATGAGATGAAAATTAAAAATTTCTTTATTAGTCACAATTACCCTTACTCCACTTATCGGTACAATGAAATCAACAAGTAAAATTACTTTGACGTGTATACATGTTCAGCCGTTTGCTTTCTCACTCGCCTAAGCGGCAGATCACGATGTCCAAGGCTCTCCAATTTTTCGATGATAGCACCATTATCAAGGAGAACTTTTGCAGCGCGACGTATCGTGGTGAATAACTCTGGCTGTAAAATTTGGAATTAATTTTAAAACAACGAGAATAAGAAATTCTCATAAGAAAATTAGAAAAAAGCGCCAACCTTAGCCAGAGACCGGGTGATTAAAGTAATTTCATATGATGGCATTTTCAATTTATCATAAACCCATGGACGCAAGCGATAAAAAAATCAAATAGTAGTCATATGCAATTTGCTTCTTCTCACACGATCCTAAATAGAAAGGAACGAATTAGAGAATTTCTGTTTCATTCCTAAAACGTTAGCTAAATGTTGATGTCAATCGAGAAAGTTCATTACATTACATTCAGTCAACACATCAACAATTGACGTAACTTTCGTGATTTACGCCAACACTTTAAAGAGACCTATTCTTAACGGAACTGAGCAAAAAAAAAAAATTCGTATTTCAACAAACATACAACACGAAAACTCGGACCGCACGAAACACTCTGGATATTCTGCATAACCTCGGGATTAATTATAAGCAATAGATGAGCACTCTAGACAGATTCTAGGCCTAAGAAATCAGGAAGCATTTTCATGCAACCTTTAAACTAAGAAACAACCTTCACGCAATCTCAGGAGAAATCTTTATAATCTTCAAGGCTCAGGAAGTAATAAATCTTTCAAATAGTTATTACATTAGTCTCTTCAAAACAACTGTTCGATAGTTGTAACCACAAACGTACATTATATATTTAGCAACAAACATATTTCGTGCAATAAATAAATATTACGTAAATGTCGCATAAGTTAACATTATTTTAAATGATTTGAAAATTTCAATGCTTTATCTTTATCTAATTAGTAAACAAACTGCATTTGATAAAATTTGAGGACGAAAGAAGAGAAGCAATCACCGAAAGACAAATGTACAACAAAAAATGTTTCCTGTAAAAAAAATGTCCATTTCATTTCTTAATAATAAATTAGATCAACGAAATCAGGCAATGCTCATGTTAGAAATTGAAAACACAAACGTTGTTAGAGAAAAAGTGAAATCCTATCAAATATATCGTAACTCCATACAATATAAAAAAAATTTTTTGAATGTTAATCATATGATAACAAGCATGAAAAAAATAACCACTGATAATTGGAGCAAAATATACCCAAACTATTTTACGGAAGGAAAGAGTAGGTGACATGGAGAATAATGGATGAATTCATATCAGTTTTAAAAATGTCACCATATGAATTGTTGCAAACATTTTCAGGAAAATATTGTTTACATTTGTAGTATAAGCGACAACTTCAAAGTGGCTATTTAATTTTTAGTGCGACAAAGACAAGGAAATATAAATCAAGACTAATTATCCCTGCAAATATATCAAATCTGTTAGTCTTCCAAATTTAGACAAAGTTTATTTAAATTCCATAAAGCTACAACACACAATATAGTATAAGAAATGGATTCAATAAATGCTTAGTGCACTGAGTTGTCTCACAAAATATTAGAAGACAAAGAATGTGGTAGCAGTGAGTATGGACAAGATGTATATTCAGGTGGGCGAACTGTTGCGTCACTAATAGTTCTGCTAACAGGTTGATGTGATGCTGAAAATCTCGCAACCGCCTGAAATATGCCATTAATAACTGTATTATTGATATCAAATGGATGAATGTCACATTTTCAAAAAGGGAAAAGATATAAATCACTTAAATAACATTACGAGATAAGCGTCCCCCCAAAACTGATCAGCTATTTAAAATGGAGCCTTCTTTATTAAAGTTTAGGTATTCAAGTAATCCTTATTTTACAAACTTCTTTGATAAAAAGAAAAAGAAAAGCAAAAGCACAACTATAGTTCCTCCCTGTAAGTACTGCAACATACTTCTTCATAAGAGGGTGGGGGATCGAACGGCTTTGATGGATTTGCATTGGTTGATAAATTATGATTCAAAACCGGCATTGCTTCAAGTTGAATTATATACGATGGCAAAAAATAATTGTGAGGCCCTAGCACCACAGATTCACCATTATTATCATTTAACAAGTCCTCCTGAAACACGAAACATTGCAATAACTTCAGGTATATTTAAGTGAGTAGTGGTCCAATAAATGGCTTCATTGAAACAGAATAAGCCGAAAAGTGTTGCTAATTTCTGAGAAAATATCGAACACGTTACAATTAATTCCTAATGGATTTAAGTGACTTTTAAATCTAATAAGAAGAAATGTCCGATAAAAAATGCCTGCATTCGTAGATAAATTTCATTTCCTGTCCTGTTGCTACCTCTTCTCATTTCCATTACGCGATGTTGATGACCTATGCCCTGACTGCATATTCTATTTAGCGGTGCTCTTCGACGTCCTGAATAAACAGAGTTCAATATCGCGTATGAAAAACTAGTTTATTGCGAATTTTAAAGTTCCATAACTAAAGAGTTTTATAGCAAATTTCAAAATGGAAATTTTCAATTCACCAAATACTGTTTCTTAAACACTATATACTTCATAACTACTAAAAAATAAGATGCACTTCTTGAATGTACAGGCTTCCTTGGGAATAAATCCAAACGACAGACAACGCAACAGATAATCATAATTACCAGGAATAATAAAGGTAAACCAAGCACAGCAGCCCATGATGCCGCGTATTCCTGAAATGAAAACTATAAATATGAAACCTGTTTCAGTAACCGAAAATATTTATCGTTCTTTACTAAGTAAAGATGATAATATCGCTTAGCTTTTGTTCGTAGCCCAGAAAGTCAATGATAAGGGTTAAAAAGGAAATTTCTAAAGGCTAATTGTCGAGAACAAAGATCCAGTAAATGTGACCTGACAGAACTGTCCAGTATACCAAGAATCCAAACACTTGCAGTGTCCATTGTCCATCGGACGACCTCCATTTAAACATTTAATATGTTCACAATGCTGGCCGTGTATGTATTCCGGATGGGGACATCTGGAACTTTATACTTTCTCAGGACGATTACTTTTCCGAAACATTTTGAATTTTCTTATCTATAATTCGACACTGATTACTTTACACCTTCATTTTCCACCTATTTAGCAATATATTGCAGTTGCCTTAACAGCAATTCAATAAATTATTTATGTAGGTGAATTTAGTTTTCGGAAAATAGATTCGAAAATTCCGATAAAATAGCTCATTACTTTTCTATTAAAAACTAATTATAAACCTGCATGTATACTGTGCTGGAACAAGCTTGGGTATTTTCACTAAAGTACCATTATTGATACAAACTAATTCTTCGCACAAATGACCCCGATAGAATTTGGGACAAATACATTCTCCTGAAAATGTAATGACGAAACAAGATTGCTCGAAAGCCCGAATCCAAAATTCGAAAATTCGAAGTATGGCTGCGTAAAAAAATGGAAATTTTGAAAATCTGCTCAGCAATTATTAACGAATGGTAAATTTAATTTTGACCATATATACATCACATGCTTTACCAGGAAAGCTGAGCTATAGATTGTAAGTTGTCAAAATTTATAAAAATAGCCGCCGAAACGTATTTTTAGTTCCTGTTATAGTAACTATTTTCTATAATAATAAGACTTACGCTTCTTACCCCCTGATGTCTTCATGCCACCGTTGAGGCAATCTGGAGTAAAACCAAGCATCTTTTTTAGATATTCCAATGAATCCATCATTATGTCGCCGAAATGAATGCCATCGTTTTTGGTGCCAATATTTCCAGAGTAATTAATTTTTGGCGTGCTTTGCAAACCCGGTTCAGAAGGCACAGAAAATTTTCCATCAGTAATCGTCATGGTTGTCGTTCGTAATGTTGTGAGCTGAAAAAAGTCTTGCATTTGTCATTAAACTTTCATGTGAAACTTATGAAGAAAGTTTAAGTCATCAGTGGAAAGAATTATGCACAGTTAGACAAACAGTAATTTCAGGCTTATCACTAGAATTGTCCAATCATCCAATCATTGCGATATATTTTCAGGGATAACAGTACCTCATATTTGTCGTCTTTCTCCGAAGCGAAATAAGCTTGATTTGGTGAACCCATCGTAGTCATTAGAATTCAAGCATGCAATATTGCATATTTTCGCTACCAAATTCTACAAACATTCAACATCTACATTATAATTAAAAGAAAGAAATGTAAAAGTGAAATAGAGACAACGATAAACTAACGGTTTAATGCAAAAATAACCCCGCTTACAACAACGAATTCCAATTCATTACAATTGGGTTTAAACATATCTTAATTAAGCAAAATAATAACAACAGTAATTAAATATTTCTACAGTGAGAAATAAATCTTGCTATAGTAGGAGAGAAATTTATACTCACAAGAATACGTGTCTTTAAGGTACGTGATAGTTCACATTTAACATATACGTCAATTTATATATGCATACAACTATGCACATTAAGGCTATATTTAATATTTGTGATGAACAATTACATGCACTACTACAAAAGATATTTTCGCCATTTCTAATTTATTTATCAATTTCTCTCCCTATGATGAATCAAATGGTGATCTATCATTACTTAAAAGAAGCACACTCGAAATAAATCCATCAGTTTATATCTAATCATGAAACAGTATATCACTAATCCAAAAATAAAACGTAAAATGAAATCATATCATAACATCACTCTATAATCTCTCTCTCTCTCTCTCTCGCAACATCTCAAATATTTACATGAAGAAATACCGCCATGCTAATGATATGATGACAAGCCGTCAATTACCTCAGAACGTATCACTCATGTATGTATTCGTGTGTACTTATAGATGTGTGGTTTAAAATGAATATTATTCATTTTAGTATCTATTGTACTTTAAAAAAATGCAAATTAGCAATTCTTGCAAACTATCAAAAATGCAAATTAGCAATTCTTGCAAACTATCAAAAATGCAAATTAGCAATTCTTGCAAATTGTCAAAAATGCAAATTAGCAATTCTTGCAAACTGTCAAAAGTGCAAATTAACAATTCATGCAGAGTATGAGCGTCAAAATGTAAATTAACAGTTTTTGACAACTATTTATGATATCTACAGGAAAAAATAATTTTTATACTTTGAAAATTCTGTAAAAATTATTTATTATTTTTATATACCCTGAAAATTGATTTTATTTTTAAAAAGAATAATTAAAAGAAATGAATTAGTATGGATTGAAAATATTCATAATTTAGGAAGAGAGAAAGAAAAGGAAAAAAAACTGATTAATGAATAAATAAAACTCCTAATACTTCACTCAGAGCTGTAACCGATATTACTACAATAAGATAGTAATCGGAAATTTAGCTCGAATATCCCTTCCGGTATGATATTTAATGGAATTGTAGCAGAATTATACCTAACATATAAAGAAAGTATGTCATTCATTCATATTCGAAATCAATAGTATTTTTCATTCCGAAATATATATAAGTAACATTTCATCTAATTCGTTTTGCAAACAGTCAGATGAAATGTTCCGTTTGTTTTGAAAGAAAAATTTTAAAATTACTGAAATTATATAGGTTTATCTCAATTTTATCCATTCCATAAATTTTTGAAAGAATAAGAAGTGCATTTCTCTTCAACTAAGCTTTTTAAAGCTTATAACTTTCAACCAATCCAAAAGACCTCGGAAGGATCTATGAAAATTGTCAATCACAGTACTCAGTAGCAGAACTGACTTCATTTTATCATCATAGGTCTTCGAATGTAATCCGAACTTTCCACACAATTTTCATCAATTGCGCCTTTAGGCACTTCGTCACATATTCAATATCCCAATGTGAATTTAAATGATATGTTTTGACTAATACCTTAGATGTTTGATGATAACAACAACTTCCAATTTTTTATAATCCTAATATGATTATTTCATGTTTACATAGAAGGAATGCATGGATTCATAATTATTTCATGTTTACATAGAAGGAATGGATGGATTCAAATTCAGGTCTATTAAAATGTGAATGCAAATTATTTAACACTTGACACAGTCTCCTTTTTCCTTCTTTTTAAATCTGCTAAATAGAAGAATCGTACGAAATTTTATTTCAAAACATTTTGCAGTCTAATAATTGTTGTTGTAAGAAGTAGAAAAGACACTATCAATTTTTAAAACTTTTATAAAACCAAAAAAATAAGCAACAATTATGGAATATAACTAATAAAGGAGAACGATACAGCTGCGATAATTATAATGAATGTAGAAATTAAGCAATATTAGTTTGAATATTCAAATTAAGCCCTAATTCATAGCAAAATAAGTAATTCAATAATATTTTAATTCCTTTTCCTCCTAATTATTCCTTTAGCTAATCTCTGAATTTTTTTGTTCTCTATTAAAGAGAACAGCGAAAATCTCGTTATCCAAAAATCTAATATCATAGTAGTGAAATGTGAGTTATCAATCAATAACGTTAATGATAGCATTTTCATTTGAGTATTACCGAGAAGAGATAATAAATATCGGTCAAAATTTCATTAATTCCATCAAAATTTTATCAAATTTCAAACCACTTCTATCTAAGTAATTCTACCATTCATTTTACATTAACGCTTTTCGCTACCTTCTATAATGAAAAAAATTCAAAGAGTGCTAAAAAAATTTAGCTAACAATTTTTTTGAGGAATACTTACAAAAACTATCTTCTAAAAATTTTTCCTAAGAATAGCATTGAAAAAGCAGAAAGACAGATATAATAATAAATTTCAGTCAATTTAAAGAGTATTCAGAAAAAGGTTTCTTCTAAAAAGTTGCTCCAACGAGTTCATAATTTGTTGGATTTTTAAACTTTTAAGAAACTATGGAAGCGATTCATCTCTGCCAAAAATAGATTTCAAAAGGAAATATGAAATCAAGTATGCTCCGGAAAACAAACTAAATTCTAAGAGTGATAAAAGTACCAAAAGTAAAACCGACTGGAAAACATCAGAATCATTCGATTATTCGGCTCAGCAAGTATTATTAGAAGCATAGTTGCATTCTGCGGAAGACCGCGGGTAGTTTCGACTCATTTAACGAAGAGAACAATGTCAGTAAAGCATGAGAGAAAGCATATAAAACCGTTTTACCCTATTGGATTAAAGCATATTTAGGAATTGTCGACTTCGCAGATCATTTATTTTACTCAAGCTGTCACCAAATTCCAGAATAGAAGTGCGAAAAACCGACTGTACTTCAAATATACTTTCAAAATTCAATTTAAATTTTAAAATTAAAACCAAAGAAATGACCAAACAAATTTCAAATACCAAAGCAGTAGGAATGTGAAAAAATATATACACAAAATCGACAGTTCTGTTTATGTCATTATACACGATTATGTATAACGATGTAAACATGATATAGCTCGAGCAGTTGATAAGCGTACATCAATATCGTGATCTTTTAGTAGTAACATCAGTCCTACAAAACCACATATATATAATATATATTATATATAAAAAATAATACATTATATATATAAATCAATTATCCAAATATTTTTATGATTCAAAATCGTTTGCATTAACATTATATGCAATTGAATAGAACAATTTAAAGTTAAATACGAAAACTGGAACAAAATCTATTCGCTCTTAAAGATTACAGAGGATTTAAGATTCGAATAATGGATCACCTGCTTTATTTATCACGATTTATTAGATACTGTTATTACTGTTATTACATTACGCCTATTAAAATTAGAAATACTAAGAAATCTAACTATTCAATGTTTTGAAAAATTAGTCTATTCTATCTGTCTTCTAATTTAATAGTGAATCCATCAACTGGAAAATGAAAAATCACTGTTCATTCAAACTGATCATTAGAAATAGCACCTTCGATTCTATGCAAAAGTAATTACTCTTACTGTCCAAAATAATGAAAAAAAATCACCTGCAAATATTAATTCTTTTGAAATAGTGCTCCGTAATTCTGGCGTTAATTCACCCAACAAATAACCAGTCATGTGAGCTGCGTTGGAACGGATACGAGATGATGTACTTTTGAAATAATTGTTACAACTCAAAGCATAATAGTTGATACGATCAGGAAATGAAAAAGCCTAAAAACGAATGTTTAATAATATTTGCCAATATACAAAAAATTTTAATGTACAAAAAGGATTTCAATTTAATTATCAAATAAATATTCCGTATTCCCAATAAAAGTTTTTAATTCAATAAACTTCATATAACTGTCTAACTTGAAAACCAATTTAAATATTAAAAAAGGTCGTATAATATGCATCTACGTTGCTAAAAAACTCATATTTAGCTAAAATATATGCTAAAAAACTCATATTTCCAATTAATTCAATCACTCTAGCAAACAAGATTTGGATATGAAAGGTATAATCAACATCCCAAATATTGAAAATCAAAATTATAATTTGAACAGGATAAAAGAATAAAAACATAGTGAAAAATTATCCCCAAACATGTAAATATTTTTTGCAAAAGTATACGGCGTCATGTGAAGTGTAAAAGATCATTCGAATCTAGCTGAAATCACTTCCTATTTATTTGAGAAACTATCACGTTCCGAACATAACTAATTAGAAATAACGGAAAAAGTTTACTTCTAATGTTATTCTTACTTCGCCGTATGGATAGGAGTTATGGATAATCTAAATAAAAGCAATATGAATGAAAAAATAACTTACTAATATTACACTGAATTCTTTCAAAAATTGACGATAATTATGGCACTGTTCATCGATTTTTAAGTTGCGTTCAATCAGCAGTGTCAAACGATCGGAATTTAACAACGAACATACCGATACAAGGCATCGTGCACACATCTGAAATAAGGATTTTTTGAGAGAAGAAAAATTTTTAATTTAAATATTTTCGCAACGATATACAAGCATATGTTTGAACTCAGAAAAATCAATCTTAGTATATCACAGCAGTCAAGAACGTAGTAAGCCAACAGAAATTACAAATATATTAAAAGCAAGCTAATGTAAGTTAGCTAGCGAAGACAGACAACTTAAAATAATAATAACCTCCCAATCAAACAAGATTAAAGAACGCAGTTTAATCAAATGTCATCGATCTTTTTTGGGGAATC